TTCAAGTCCTCTGGGGATAACTGCACATGGACGTGTTGTCTTCAAAACTTGGGCTCACTTCATGAGCTCACTTCATTCCCTGTTCTTAGTTTCAAAGGAAATTGGCCCATTTTCCTCAGCCAGGAAGCTGAAGGATCCCTCACCAGCAAAAGCCATCTCGTTGTAGATGCAAAGAGCAACATACTGTATCCTTCTAGGTAACAAATGTTGTATCCTTCTAGGTAATAAATGTGGTTCCCCATGTTAATCCTCTTGGTAAATATACCTGATGCAGCCTCCTGGGACCCGCCTTTGGTACATGTCACACAAGATACCTGCTTCAAAGCTGGTCAGTATGTGCAACTTCCTACAGGAGGCAGCGGCGAATGGGTAAAAAAAGCCAGACATCTGGCTTACCCCCAGACCGGATCACCTGGGACCTATTGTGGTTACAGCTCGCCTCCAAAAACATCCAGGCTCCAAGGTCCCAATTCGACTACCACAGCCCTGGAGCAGTCTTCGGCTCCCTCCCTGCATCTCACCAAATCTGGACTGTTACTGGGTATTTAGCTTCATGGGATGTGGGCCCACTCATATAGGACCCCTAATTTCAGGGTACAAGACCACAGAAAGTTGGGAGTGGAACCAAAGGACAGAGTGTTAATTTATGGACACTCCTCTAGAACAAACAAACCATTCTATTTCCAGGGCCTCGGATGGATTGGTCGAGATTCACAACATTTATGAGGCTGCTAATGAGTTGGGAGAGTATCGGTGTGAATGTTTGTGGGAGGGTTGGGCATTTTTTATTAACCTAACAGTGTTTGTAAATGTGGGATGGACGGATGTTCCTCCTCTGCTGTGGGAACCTGAGATGGAGGGACTCTATTGTCAGGAACACTGTGTACACCCCATTAAACGTTTACATTGTACTGATATACGATGTTACAACCTGACCATTTGTGCATACTCCCTGCCTACTATCTGTCCGGCATTGTACCCTATCCCACTGGATGGCATGATTCAAGTAGGCCCCAACAAAACACTTTTGCATGATGTTCTTATGGTCTCTCTTCAGGTTAAATATGATTTGTCCAATTTTTCGGCACCTTTGCGAAATGTTTGCTCAGACCACCCCAGTCAGACCACCAATGGCTGCAGGACCAGCTCCAGTTTCTAATACATCAATATGTTATTCGGGCCTGAACAGCCAAAAAACAAAAATGTAGCATCTTTGGTGATATTGGAGGATTTTTTGGAAGCACCAATTCTATACTAAACACGCTTAACCTAAATTCTGAGAGGTCATACAATTCTTGGGTCAAAAGCCAAACCACCCAAGCCCTTAGACACACTAACACAGGCTTATCCTATGCTCTGACTGCAATTGATGTAGCAATAGAGGATTTTTACAAAATCATTGAAAAAACCTGAGACCCTAGCAGGGCTAGTGGATTAGGAACTGGGCGGGGAGCCAGGAGCCCTGGAATCTACTTCTAACTTTGACCTGCTGTATGACCTTCAGGAAATCTATTTCCCTCTCTCTGCCTTTGCTTATTTATATTATAAGCAATTTGGGGACTCGCCTATAACATGTGCTGGTACAGTCCTTGGCAAAACGGGGCCACAGTCTCAATTAGCTGTACTGCTTGGTGTCCCCAGTCATGGAGCCAGCCCCACATCGCACAGATGCATGAAATCTAAGATATCCCAGGTAACCTGAATCCCGCTCAGCTTGTTACATACAATTGTGTATGAAAGTCAGCAAAAGATGGAGACACAGAGACTGCTATGAACTGGATGGTTGGGTTAAAGGAGCAGCACTAAGGGGTCTGCAAGGCACCTGGTAAAGTCATGGGTTGGCACGGCAATGAACTGAAAGATTCTACAAATGGGAGGAAATGTTTATAGTTGAATCCACCCAAACGTGCTTTGATAGGTTAACGATCCATGGATGTAGTATCCATCCCTCAATGGATGCTGTTTATCTGGGGGTGGGGTCAACTATATCATAGCAGGGGGACAAGTGGGTTGGAAGGCCTGAGCTTTACCATTATGGCTGCCACCTCCATCATCCTCTGGCATCCACCATGACACAATTGGGGTTTCATCGTCCTGATCCTGAAAGACGTCCTGACCAGACCAAGCCAGAGAGAAGGAACCAGATGATATCACCATCTGGCCCTGCTTCATCTAAATCCTGAATATTTGGGATAGGAGACTTGTATTCCTGCTGTCACACCCTCCCTCATGTGACATTTTCCTTCCCCACCTTATTTATCCTCTTTCTCATGAGCATCTGTCTGATCCACCAAGTACATGCCATCTTATTATTTTAAATAGAATAGACAGACACTCCAATTTAAACACACTGGACTAGGTAAAACAGTAAAACAAGTTTATTAATTACAAAGAGATAGATGTTAAGTGAGTACAAGTATCGAGGCTGAAAAGTCACAAACTGTTATAAGAAAAATAAAGATAAAATAGTTACTAGTGCCTAACTTAATAAACTATGTTAGATTCAAACAAAGTTTCTCACTACAGACTCCAACATATTACTGACCAAACTCTTAGGTCTGGATCCCTCCCTGTTAGTCCAGTGGCTGTTTTCTTTTATCTTCTTAGGTGTGATGCCAGAGATAGACAGGGAGAGAGATGATGGGAGTCTTGGGGTGTCTGCCCCTTCTTTTTATAGTCCTGCCCCCCATTGAGAAGCATTTCCAGCTGGGAGAAAGGTGACAGGCAGTCTGGGGAAGAAAGGAAACTCCATGCAGTTTCTTTGCTAAAATGTAGATTTCTGTCCCTGCCCCTTTCCTTGTCAAAGAATGGCCACTTGGCAGGTAATGGTCTATCAGCCTTGTTGAGTCAGACTTGATGCCTGAAGTATCAGCTTGCCCTTTGTCTCTGAGGAAGTGGTTTAGCTACTCCCTGGACTTATCTGGGAAACATGCTTGAGTCATGATTTCATCTTATGTTCATAACTTTACATGTAATGATGCCATGTGCATTTTGCCATGATATTCATCAGCAAGTTATGTGTTTTTAACTAATACCTCACAAGGCAAACCTTGTACAAGCATTATAACAATACCGTGTAGTGTGTGAACATGGGTCTATTCTGTTACCTGCCCCATGCATCTGAATGGGATGTTAACGGCAGGACACACTGCTTTGGGAGCCATGCCAACCCATCCCAGCAGGGAGCTGCGTGTGGCAGGAATGGAGGAATTCGGTTGGCTTGCTCTCTTCAAAAACAGATACACCCTAGCTGCTGGGGTACATACTGGGGGTGGTGTCCTGCCACCACCCCTTCATCGCTAGGGGCAGAGGAAACTCCTGATGCTCCCCTAGAGAGGGACGGATGAACACAATGCTACTCCTGGGTGAGAAAATGCATTAGCCTTGCCTCTCTGGAAGGGGATGGCACTTTCGTCATCACCATTCCAAGTGGAGGGTGAGGTTACGGAGAAGGGGGAAGGAACATGTCATGATCTGCCTAGGACCATAAATTGCCTTTAATTTCACCCTGATCTTTTTGAGAAAAAAAATAATTTGAAGTTATTTTTCAGTTTAACAAGTTTAGTGGCATAAGCAAATACCCCCTGGTCCTCAACTCACACAAGCAAAGTGATGCACTGGGGGCAAGAATTGGAAGCAGGGAGCTTTAAGAGGTTATTTTCCTTTATACTATTTACATGGGAGGAAATGGTTGTGCTGGGATATCGGCAGTTATCTCGGGGAGATGGGAGAAGGGCGGGTGGGGGTGTCTATTGACAAAAACTGGAGCTGGTCAAAAAACGGGGAACATTTTTCACAAAAAAAGTGTATCCCTTTTTTCCTGTGGGAAAAAATCCACCAGCTATATTTAAACCTCAAACTGTGGCAGTCGTTCAGCCGCCTTCCCTGAGATTCCAAATACCGATGCCTCCATTCCAGCAAAGATCTGTGTATTTGTGGGGGGAAAGGTACTGAGCTGTCTGTGTGTCATGTTGATTAAAATGCTAGAAGTCAGGAACTCCTTCATTGCCACTGACTGGCCGTAATAACACTTTGCACTTATACAGATACAGAGATGATAAAAAATAGGAGAGGAAAAGTATTGTTATGCGGGCATCATCAGGTGGTGCTGTTGTACATGGTCTCCGTTCTTTTTTTCAGGGTATGTCTACACTAAAGCTGGAAGGTGTAACAGCCATCTCAGGTAGACATACCCCTTCTAGCTCTGATCGAACTAGCATGCTAAAAATAGAAGTGTAGCCCTGACAGCATGAGGGCTTATGCCCGATTACATGCTGAGGGTTTTAAATGAGATCATTCTCGGGGCGGCTAACCCGTCCTGCCGTTCGCACCACCATGGCTACGCTTCTGTTTTTAGCATGCTAGCTTGATCAGAGCTAGAAGGGGTATGTCTACCCTAGCTGAAAATTACACCTCCAGTGCCAGTGTAAACATCCTCTTAGTGTGCAAGCAAGTTTTGACTCTTGAGAGGAACATGCGGTGTTGTTATCATCTTTGGGTAAAGTAAGGCTTTGGTTGTAGAGGCAGCTTCGGGGGGAATGGGAGTTGTGTGAGTGGCAGGAGAGTTTGCTGTCCGTCTTGGTCTCTGATTAAAGTCAATTTTTGAGGCAGAGTTGCTCCCCGGGCATCAGTGTTGGGATGAGATTCCTGGAATAAGAGATGGCCCTGCATGTTGTTTGACCATCTCATTTCAGGACTGGTATATATGTGTGAATAAAGCAAGTTACACTCAGAATACAGCCAGACTCTGCATCATAGATTTAACTGCTGCCAGGAATCTGACTTGCAAGGCCCCAGACATTGGCAGAGGGGCAATGCTGGTTTCAGAATAAGAGGCAACAATATTCTTTTACTGTCCATTATTTATACTGAGCCACAAGTGCTCTTGATGTCCAGACAAAGAGAAAGACGAGGTCACTGCCTTGAAGACCATACCATGGGCAACAGTGACATCATGCAGAAGTCATTGATATATTAGAAGTGCCGAAATTTGCAACTTTTCACATTTTTGGAGAAAGAAATGTGTGGGCAGTTAATTTCCTTAGGGCTGATTTAACTTCCCTGTTTCTCAGACTATAAACCACTGGGTTCAACATAGGACTAAAAAAGGTATAAGACAAGGCAATCAAAGTGTCCTCATCTAGGGAAGCAGTTGATTTGGGTATTAAATACACAAAAAAAGCACAGCTGAAGTGTGTGATCACAACGATGAGATGGGAGGCGCAAGTGGAGAAGGTCTTGCGCCTGCCTGTGGCAGAGTGGATCTTCAGGATGGCAGCAAGGATATAGATGTAAGAGAGGATGATTCCTGTGAAGGTGCCTAGCAAAACAAAGGCACAAAGAAAAACAATGGCAATCCCAGTGATATGATGGTCACTGCACGCCAGCCTCAGAACGGGCGAGATGTCACAGAAGAAATGTCTGATGGCATTGGGCCCGCAGAAGGGCAAACTGAATATAAGGGAACTGATGCCTAGTGCTATAAGAAAGCCAGTTGCACATGAAACGGTGACCAGCTCAACGCAAACCCTCCTGTTTATCACAACTGGGTATTGCAGCGGCTTACATATGGCCACATAGCGATCGTAAGCCATGGCTGACAGCAGGAAACAATTTGTGCCCCCGAAGCCAAAGAAGCAGAACATTTGAGCAGCGCATCCCAGGAAAGAAATCATTAGGTTTCCCGACAGCAAACTCACCAGCAGCTTGGGGACGACAGCCATAGTGGTGCAGGTTTCCGAGAAGGACAAAGCGAAGAGTAAGAAGTACATGGGGGTATGGAGGCTCCGATCAACACTGATGGCTGCCATGATGGTGATGTTGGAGGTCAGGATTATCACGTACACCAGGGAGAACACCAGGAAAAGCAGAACCTGCCGCTCTTCCAGACTGGAGAATCCCAGCAGCAGAAATAGAGACACGGTGCTCTCATTTCCTCTGGGCATCATCAAAAGCATCTAAACTCAAGGGGGAAAAGGAGGCAAAAAATCTTAGGAGCTGTACAACACCATCAGAGTTGCTTCCTTAGCTCCAACACAGCCTCAGACATGATCAAATGATTGGTGTGAAGGAACTAAAACAAGCCCAAGACTGCTGATTTGTTTCTATTGTATTTTATCTTTTATTTTATAGTCATGTATTCATTGCTCAGATATTGCAGTGGTGAGAGCCCACTTAAGGAGCTGGGTAGATTGACTGATTTATTGATTGATTTATAAAAGTTACGGTAGTAACATTAGCTTTGACTGCAATATGCTCTGGTTCCGGGGAGGTGTTACAGTATGGACAATGACAATGTAAGTTTATCCCAACCAATTTCCCCAACTTGACTCCACTTTGTTTCAGAAGGATCACTTCTAAAGAACATAAGAACGGCCATACTGGGTCAGAACAAAGGTCCATCTAGCCCAGTATCCTGTATTCTGACAGTGGCCAATGCCAGGTACCCCTGAGGGAATGAACAGAACAGGTAATCATCAAGTGATCCATCCCCTGTCGGTCATTCCCAGCCTCTGGCAAACAGAGGCTAGGGACACCATCCTGCCCATCCTGGCTAATAGCCATTGATGGACCTATCCTCCAAGAGGGATCAAGACTTCATGGACTATTTATTATTATTTATTATTATTACAGTCATTTAGGTAGCATCCAGGAATCTTACCATAAACCAGAATCTATTGTGCTAGATGCTGTACAAAAACAGAACAAACAAAAAACAGTTCCTGCCCCCAAAAGCTTACAATTTAAGTACAAGACAATAGACAACAGGTGGGTGCAGACTGATGGATGGAGGAGTACAAGGAAGCAATGAGATGATAGGCAGTGGCTGTAGCACACCATCTGCCTAGCTACGGTCAATGTTTTTATAGTCATCCGAGAAGAGGAGAGTTTTATTTAGTCCTTTTATTGTCTGTTGCAAGTTCCCAAAGAAGGGTAATGTATGCCACTCGTAAGGGGTGTTATTAATACCAAAGGATATGCTCCAGGAATTATTTTGGGAAGTTCTCTGGCCTGTGATATACAGGAGATCAGTCTAGATGATCATAATTGTCCCTTCTGGCCTTGGACTCTATGAATCTCTGCGGGAAAAAATTGATGTGGGTATGTGTCTATTAGCAACTGGACAGAACGTAGAACTGGGAGTTAGTGGACCTGTTTTCTGTTCCCAGCTCTGCCACTGGCTTTCTTCATGACCATGGGCAAGACACTTCACCTCCCTGTGCCTCATCTGTAAAATGGGGGAAATTGTGCTCACATGCCTTTAAGAACATAAGAATGGCCATACTGGGTCAGACCAAAGGTCCATCCAGCCCAGTATCCTGTCTACCGACAGTGGCCAATGCCAGGTGCCCCAGAGGGAGTGAACCTAACAGGTAATGATCAAGTGATCTCTCTCCTGTCATCCATCTCCACCCTCTGACAAACAGAGGCTAGGGACACCATTCCTTACCATCCTGGCTAATAGCCATTAATGGACTTAACCTCCATGAATTTATCCAGTTCTCTTTTAAACCCTGTTATAGTCCTAGCCTTCACAATCTCCTCAGGCAAGGAGTTCCACAAGTTGACTGTGCGCTGTGTGAAGAAAAACTTCCTTTTATTTGTTTTAAACCTGCTGCCCATTAATTTCATTTGGTGGCCCCTAGTTCTTATATTATGGGAACCAGTAAATAACTTTTCCTTATTCACTTTCTCCACACCACTCATTTGTAAAGCACTTTGAGATCTATGTAGGAACTAGTATACAAGTTCTAAGTGTTATTAGGCATATGTTGTGGATGTAGAGGCACGGAGGTATAGAAAAAAAATGAACTTTGAAATCTATAGATGAAAAGCGCTATGTAAGAGCTAGATATTAATATTATCATAATCATCATCCAGGCTTTCCTGGAAACCCCAACTACAACACTAGGAAAGTTAGCTAGCAAGCAATGGGTAACTCAGAGTATCTAACCTGCAATAAAAGACCTGGAGTCAATGGACTCAGGCTCACAGGGCTCGGACTGCGGGGCTAAAAAGAGCGGTGTGGAAGTTTGGGCTCAGGCTGGAGTCTGTGCTTTGTAACTTGGCAAGAGGGGAAGGTCTCAGAACCTGGGCTCCAGCCTTTTTAGCCCCACAAGCTCAAATCAGTTAACCCAGGCTCGGAGGCTCTGTGCCGTGAATTTTTCTTTGCAGTGTCGCTGTACCCTAATGTACTTATTCAGCTCTCATCATTGCTGATGATGGGTGCAGCAACTGGTTCCTCTGAACTATTGCTGAAAACCATTTAGCGGCCAGACAGCACTCAACGAATCTCAGTTCCATTCCTAGAGAGACAGCAAGACCAACCATCCAACTTTCTGAACCAAATCATACTCTGATGGGTAAAAACGATCTGCTTCTCTCTCGCCCATCTCAAAGGGGAAATAAGACGATGAATGTGCTAGAGACAACTTTCATAACAACAGTACAAATCCAGAGGAACTCCGTTGATTTCAGTGGCAACACAGTGGGTTTACACAAGCCTGAGTGCTATCACAATCTGGCTGTTTAAGGAAAAATTCTTGTTATGAAGGATTCACCACATCAACCAAGCTATTCTGGGCACTAAACTTCCAGGCACTGTACTTCTAATACCGTCTTCCCACTAGGCACCTGCAGTGCATCCATACATCTTAAATAGTCACCCTTTCCCATGTTCCAACTCATACTACTTTGTCTGTGGAACAGGAGGCTTTCATTTTTCCTGGAATGAGGGAATGGAGGAGCAGGCAGGATGCTTTCCTGCAATGATTTCTGAATTAAGACACCCTGAAAAATAGCTGATAAACTCAGGTCCAACGGTTTAGTCTAATATATATGTAACTAGTGGAAAAATTTCCCATAGAACATTTTTCCATGAGGAAATGCTGTTTTGTCAAAATTGAAGGGGAAAATTGAGAAGACAGGGATGTCTTGAGTTTTCTTTTCATTTTTTTTCCAGTTTCAAATGTATTTTATTATAACATAACTTAAAATTAAAAAGGTGGCAATTGAAATGAATCCATTTGATTTTATTGAAATGGAACATTTTGCTTGGCCTGAAACAATTTTTCCCCCCAAAAATTTCATTTTGTAGGATTTTTTCTCTCTTTATTTTCCAATTTGGAAGGAAAACAAATTTCAAAATGTCAGAATTTCCCATAGAATGGAATTCCTACCAGCCCTTTTATATCCTTCTTTCTCTCTATTATTGAAACGATAGCTAGACAGACACATAGGTAGATCACTATACCTTTGCATGACATTAAAAATGCATCTATTAGTTTATTTATTTCCACGTAAAGCCATCACCAGATAACATACCTGTAGCACCAGGAAAGAAACTCCAGAAGGATCTGTGCTTAGAGATGTTTATATTGGGTTTTGATCACCGCTTGGGATGTAATCCCCTGTTGCTCCCCCCAGCATTTACGAGTTCACAAAGAATTCAACAATTTTTAGAAGAACACTGTCTCACGCAGGGGCTGATGGGCAGCTGTTCTCGGATATCAGGGTTGTAATGCCATACCCATGGGTGCATTGTTGGCAATGGAAGTTGGGAACTTCTGGATTTTAATTTAAGAGCCTTGACTCCTTGAGCTAAAAGACTCACCTTGGTTAGCCAAGTGTGTAGCAGGTTTATCATCCTATATGAGCCAGCAACCATTAGAGGGAGACTGTAAACCACACTGAGTGGGCATGGCTTGTGAGGCAGTGCTTAGAAATGGTGCCTTGTGAATAAATACACCTAAAGAAATTGTGTGGACCCTTGCAGCTATGAAGGTCAAAAAGCCACAAAGAGATAAAGAGGCTGATGCCATCCATGGAGAATGAGTCCTACACCCTAGGGACTATTGTAGGAATAGCTCAGTTAAGTAACAACCAAAATTGTGATGTGGAACCACCAAGGATTGGCTGCAATCAGGCAGGTTGAGGCACCAGCAGGGAGTCCCAGATATAACCAGATCCCTCCTTTCTATTCACTCTGACAATGAACTTCTTGTCCTCTGCAGTAAACTCTGTGGAATTCTAGTGTAATGTTGGTCAGTCTATTCAGCTTATCAAAGAGAAGGTTGAGCGGTGACTTGATCATTGTCTATTGATACTGACACAGACAAGATATCTGATTGTGGAAAAGATATATGCCGACAAAGTCATGACATGTTATTTAGTCTGCAGAAGAGAAGAGTGAGGGGGGATTTGATAGCAGCCTTCAACGACCTGAAGGGGGGTTCCAAAGAGGATGGAGCTCGGCTGTTCTCAGTGGTGGCAGATGACAGAACAAGGAGCAATGGTCTCAAGTTGCAGTGGGGGAGGTCTAGGTTGGATATTAGGAAACACTATTTCACTAGGAGGGTGGTGAAGCACTGGAATGAGTTACCTAGGGAGGTGGTGGAATCTCCATCCTTAGAGATTTTTAAGGCCCGGCTTGACGAAGCCCTGGCTGGGATGATTTAGTCGGGGATTGGTCCTGCTTTGAGCAGGGGGTTGGACTAGATGACCTCCTGAGGTCTCTTCCAACCCTGATCTTCTATGATTCTATGTTCCAGTGGCTGGAAGTTGAAGTTAAACAAATTCAAGCTTGAAATAAGATGCAATTACCTAGAAGTGAGGGTCTTCAAAGATTGGAACAGATTCCCTGGGGAGTTGGTGGATTGGGGTTGCTACTTTTGGTTGGACTATTTTTGTAGGTATCATCACATGACCTAAACTTTAATTAAAGATTTATCTTTAATTCCTGGAGACTCCAGGACAATCCTGAAGGGTTGGCAACCCTATGGTCGGCTCACCAGCATTTGGAGTTTTAAAAACGAGATTAGCTCTTTCTGAAAGACATGCTTTAATCCAGTTTGTGGGAATAATTTTGCAGCCTGTGTACACAGGAGGTCACCCAAGGTCTGTGTATACAGGAGGTCATCTCTTCTGGCCTTACAGTCTATGCATC